TGGATGAACACAGCAGGCCAAGCAGCATCATAGGAGCAGAGAGGCTGCTTGGCCTGCTGTGTTCATCCAGCCCTGCACCTTGTTGTCTCGGATTCTCCAGCATCTGCAGTTCCTACTATCTCTGTTCCAATATAGTGGTGATTCTTTATCCACTAAAATATAGATATTCTCCATTCACCTAAAGCTATCTATCTCCTGGGAGAGATGAAGAAACAGATAGAATTCCAGTCAGAAACATGTCTGCTTTCATAAGGAAACCATGATGTTGAGGTGCCAGTGTTGGACTGGAGTGGACAAAGTTAAAAGTCACACAACACCAGGTTACAGTCCAACAGGTTTATTTGAAATCATAAGCTTTTGGAGCACTACTCCCTCATCACCTGACTAAAGGGTCAGTGCTCCAAAAGCTTGTCAATTCAAATAAACCTGCAGAACTATGAACCTGGTGTCATGTGACTTCTGACCCTTGAGGAAATTGAGATTTCTTGTTCACTGCAAACACAGCTAATTTGTTTCATATGACCAACACTCTCAAAAAAAAGGGACCAATGCCTAATAGCTAACCTAATTCTGTTTTTCCATAACTGGCTTATTCAGCTGATATAATTGGTCCACGTAAATGAAAAACAATAACTTATTAAGTCATGCTCAGATTGTCTACCCTTTTAAAGAATACAAATCAGCTGTTTGGGTTTACCTGTGCAGCTAAGGTGGTGTAAACTAGGAAACAATCTTGTGTCCTGATTCTGCATTCTTTCAAACACCTCAATATCCATAACCATACAAAACCACCATCTGTCTGGTCACCATATTCTAACTAGGGCCCAACAAAACCTTAATTGTACAAGTACAAAGTGGTATGCTTTGATTAATAGTAAATTATCTTGAGAATACAATCTAGAACCTTTTTAACACTTTTGTCAAACATACTGAATCTATAGATTGTCACTTTATATTTTAATAATATATAATAAAATGTGTCACTTTTTAGTATTTCTATTATATTCTCCTTAACTTACTCTAAGTAGAATAATGCCAGGTTTTCCAATCTCTCCAAATACTGGAAAACCTTCTTCCCTAGTACCATCCCTGTACGTTCTCTAAAATTCGACATCCTTCCTGAACTGTGATGCCCAGATTACACACCTCGGTTGAGGACTAACCAGTGATGGTTTATCTTGCCTTCTTTGGTTTTGTATGTCTTTGCCCTTTTACTACTCTTATTTACAAAGTCAATTATTCCATACCTTTGCTTGACCTCATTATTATCTTATCCTACATCTGGTTCATTCCTCAGGGTAATACCTCGATCAATCAACTTACTTGGCTTAAATTTAAGCATGGCAGCTAACAGTCATCTTAATTGGTGCATTATCTACGGCAACACGTCTATCAATCAGCACTGCCATCATATACACATAAATGTTATTTTTCCTTTGCCTGGATACTTCTTGCAAATTGTTCTGATGAGCACAAGCTGAAAAGCTTCAACTAAATGTGTCTTTTCTCAACAAATACCTTGTATCAGTTATGAACAGCTTCAACAATAGCACTATTCATATAATAACTGAAATGACATTTCCTTACTATTACACAAAGATTGAGAGATGACACAATTTAGAGCTTTAAAACATTGTGAAACTTCTTGATAATGTACATATTTCAGTATCAAAAAACTGCAATCATAGACCATAAATATATCATTAGCAACTATCTGTACTCACAAAGTATCTGTTAATATGTCAGTTAACCTCTAATATATAAAATGTCAACAGACATTGCCAAATAAAGGCATAAATTTTCAAATACTATGCACAATAAGTAGCTGGGTAGATGGTCATTGTTGATACATCGGGTTAAATTGTTTGATTCACACTCGATTCCCTGGAAAGCAGGACAGAAATCTCAGAAGAAAAAAAAATCAAAATTACTGTCTTGATATGGTTTTGTTGCTTTATGTGTATTTAATAGCAGGATAAATTAGCAATTGAAATATCCTGAAAGTGCAATAAAAACAAAGATGCTTTGTGATAAGGCTGACAAGAACACAGTTTCAGTGTACTCATGTCATTTGCAGAGATGACTCAAGCTTACTAAACAACAATTTTTGCAGGAAACTGGAATTACAAGCAAATCAGGATGGACAGAAAGAGACAC